GCCTGGCAGCACCAGTGATCCCCTCCACACCACCCCCCGCCCCTCCCACCGACTCGTGTGCACGCCGGCAGAGAAAGACGAGGCTGCCTGTCTCCACGGAGGGGAGTGCTTCGTCTTGGACCTGCTAGACACGCGCAGTGCTCACTGCCAGTAGGTTTGCTTCTCTTCTTGACCTGTTTAACCCCCTGTGTGACCTCCTTACCTGAAGCATTTACCTTGGGGTTTTTTTTCTCATGATACAGAGGTATTTACGCCACCATTAACACAAATTAGATAGATATCAATTTGCTAGACACACGCAGAGGTCACTGCCAGTAGGTGATCTCCTCTCTTCTTGACCATGACATCTACCTGTTTTTTCTCCTTAATATAAGTGTCTTTACCCCCCCCCCCCCAATCATCACAATAATTTAGATCTATCAACCTGCTAGAAACGCGCAGTGCTCTTTGCCAGTAAGTGGTCTCCTCTTTTGTTGACCTGTGTGACCTCCTTACCTGTCACATTTACCTATTGTTGGTTTTTCCTCCTGATACAGGGGTATTTACGCCACCATTAACACAAATTAGATAGATATCAGTTTACTAGACACACGCAGAGCTCACTGCCAGTAGGTTTGCCCGTGTCTGTGACCCGTGCTGTGATCCCTTACCTGCCACAATGACCTGGTTTTTTCCTGGTAAAGGTGTTTTTACGCTCCTATCAACACGATTTAGGCATATCAATTTGTTAGACACACTTAGCGCCGGCAGAGAAAGACGAGGCTGCCTGTCTCCACGGAGGGGAGTGCTTTGTCCTCGACCTGCTAGACACGCGCAGTGCTCACTGCCAGTAGGTCGTCTTCTTTTGTTGACATGTGTGATACCTTACCTGTCACATTTACCTGGTTTTAGGCCCCCTTCAACACCAGTTAGACCCATCAATTTGCTAGACACACGCAGTGCTCACTGCCAGTAGGTTTGCTTTCTTGTTGACCTGTGCTGTGATCTCTTACCTGTCACATTCACCTGTTGTTGTTTTTTTTAATCTTAGTTTAGGCGTTTTTACGCCCCATATCAGCACAATTTAGATATATGAATTTGCCAGAAACACGCAGCGCCCACTACCATCCTCTGTTGTTGTTGACCCAGGCTGTGATCTCTGACCTGTGGCATTTACTCTTTGACCTTTCTAACTCATATGACGTTTGACCTGTTAATTTGTGGCCTTGCGGGTTGCGTCCACGGTGTCCCTCTTCCTCCTTTTCTGTGTATGTCACTCTCAAGTAATAACTCTAATCTCCGACATTTTTATGATCTATTTATGTTGGAAATGCCCGTAAAGCTCTTACAAAAATAAATAAATACAAAAAATTAAATTCATAACGTTTGAACGGTGACCTATTGACCCTTTGCAATCTGTGACCTATTGACATGTAACCTTAAGGTTATTATCTAGTTTCCGCAGTGAACTTCATAACTAACCATAATTCTAAAAACACAGCTAATGCTGTAATTCTTTCTCTCTCTCTCTCCCCCCTTTTCCAGTTGTCCGGAGCGATGGAAAGGTCTCCGGTGTGAAGAGATCGACGATGGCTTCTTCGGTGAATGTAATATCTGTTTACTTGTTTGTTGGTTTGTTTGTTTGCGTGTGTGTAACCGCTTCGCTGACCGTTTCTTGGACGCTTTCTCCGGCACACTGTCCAGTGTTGTTCTTGAGATGACGCACACACTCGATGCTGATGACGTCATAAGACCTTCGGTACTGTGGTAAACGAAACTGCATCTGTGCACGAATGGGGTAAAAATAGAAATGACAACATCCGTTAAAAGTTGCAAAGGATTACCGGGTAGATAAAAACAGGATAAGTTAAAAAGGGGATAAAATAAAGAGATGAAATTGATATCATTAGGAATAAAAATGAAGAGAGATATGATGACATAAGTTGGGCAACATGAGCTGAGAATATGGGAAGATATGATTGGTGTGACGAAATAAACTAGATTTCTACTTAATAAGGCGAATAATTGTGACGACATAAAATGAAATAAGCACAAGTAGACATGAAACTAATAATAGCATAGCAATATGTGAGGCAGCGTGTTGGAATCAGGCTCTCGTAAAAATAATCAAAGTGAAGAAACTTGCATTTTTCCGCAGGTTTGTGAATTTTTATCAATTTTTTGTTTTTTGGCTCAACACCTTTCATGCCCATTAAAGAACTCATTTATGTGTGGATTTTCCTGGAAAACGTTAATTAAAGGCACAAAAAAGGGAAATTTTCAGTTACCACGGACTCTTAAGCTATGGAAATAA